TTATTGATTTTACTAAGAGCATCAATGTTTTCATTTTTTAACCATGTAGGAATATTCACAAATTTGCTTTTCAGGTTCTCTTCTTATGATGACTTATTGAAGAGCTGTAAATTTATATTCGGTCATTTGATAGGGTTGGCTATGGAAATATTCAATCACATCTAAAGAGTTTTGTCAACAAGTGAAGCATTTGATCTTAAAGAACTAGCCGATAAGTTACAAATGGGCTCTAAATAATCAGTCAATTTAATTTGTTTTTTAACTAAATGTTGTTTGATAAAATTTATTAATGTTAAAGCTTTTAATATCAGAATACTTAAATATTGGTAGGGTTTTTTAACAGTTAGAGGTTGTCTATATTATTTTAATTGCTCAAAGGTGTTTGAATGTTGTATTTAATGACATTTTTCATTTGTCCAGTTCAACCGGGCAGAGGTACTGGGTTATATACCCATGTGGATGAAGGTCGAGGTATCTACTCCTGGCTGGAGCACATGTGGGGGATTTTTCCGAGAATGGTAGCTAAGTTCGGATCCTAGTTAATGCCCCACAAAGGGAAACTGGGTGCAAAGACTGGGGGTGGTTATTCTCCTTGGAGAGGTTTTGATCTCGGATCTTCGTGACTAGGTAATGTATAATGGTGTTGATTTCTAGTTGTGATGTATAGCTTCACAAGCAAAACTTTTTATACTCATAGATGGAGATGGATGCTCTAAGTGGCTGAAATAGTATCAATCGTGAAGGCTAACAACAACAAACCTTATGAAAATTTACCTAATCATGTAATTTTTTTATTAAAATTACGATGCCTTAAGTTTTTGTTCAAGAACAAGCATACCCACATGTATACAACTCTCCTGTATAACATTGCATCTCGGTGATCTTTGTTTACTTCAATATGTTTCCCAAATCAAAAAAAAAAGTTTTCAGCTATCTGTTTTTAAGTCGGTATCATAAAAAGTTAAGAACAAATTACCATTATCACACAAAAAATCCCTTAAAACAAGTCCTAAGAAATTTAACATACGTGTTACTTTTCGAGGCACATGAAGACTGATTTTTATAGCGGGCATGTTGGTCTTTGTAACACGTGTCTGAGATTTCTTTTTTGTTTGATGGGGTACATCTTTCAGTAGGTTTCTGAAATTGTGTAGGGGCTTTGTTTTCTTGAAACCTCTAAGGCCGAACTGAGTATTCTATCTTTAGCAGCCCATCTCTTTTCTTCATACTTTTCCCTAATCAAGTTCTCAATGCCAACCCTGTCATAGTTTATACTTTCAAGGTAGTTCTGCTTCTACATAATGAAGCTAATATTTGTTTGCAAGAAGAAAGGTGTGGCAGGGCAAGGAGGAAGACAAACTGGACGATCGTGAGGAAGAAGGTCACATGTAAAATAAGATCTTGTTATTTAATTACCAATAATGATTTAAAATTATAAAAAAGGATTATTAAGTAATAAAAAACTATTGAAAAAATAGATTTAGCCAAATTTGATATTTTAGAATATTAAGAAAGACAAATATTATATTTAGAGTTTAAGTCGGACAAATACAATATTTACATATTTAATAACAATAAGGGTATATACTAAATTCTCTATTCCTTCTATTGAGAGTCTGGATAAAGAACTAATACTCTATCTCTGAAGGAGAGAAGGTATTAACTATCGATGAATGACCAATTGTTTGTTTGTGGTTGTTTTGGTTGATTGGTTTTTTCATTTTGTATTATGTATTTTTTTAATTTATTGATTGATTGAGATTTTTTATAGGTTGGATCAAGGATAAATCTTTGATTTTTCATTACCCTTTTAAGGGGGTGTTTGACTTATCTTTTTGAGAGGCAAAAGTCATTTTTGGAAAAGTTATAAAAAGTCAGTTTTCCTGACTTTTCCAAAAAGTTAGTTTTTCTTATATCAAAAATCCAAAAATAGTTTTTAAAATCCTTTTACAAAACATCTTTTACATTTTATCTTTTCCAAAAAGACTTTTGCCTCTCAAAAAGATAAGTCAAACTTGTTTTTCTTTTTTTAGCTGTGATATATATATATATATATATATATATATATATATATATATATATATATATATATATATATATGTTACGCCTATTGAGTTTGAGTTTTTTCATGGGGGAAAGTCTGTTGAAGAAGTTGCGGGAAGAAGGTCAAAATCAAAATATCACGGAGAAGGGAGGAGAGGATGGAATCAGTGCGTTGCCGGACTGCTTGCTTCTTGAAATCCTCTCTCGTTTACCCTCCACAAAAGACGCCATTAGAACAGGTACGCTGTCCAAGCGATGGGAACATCTTTGGACTTGGGTACCTACTCTGATTTTTAGACCCCCAACTCAATGTTTCCAAAACCCTAAATCAAAGTCCGATTTTGCATTATTGGTGGACAAAACCCTAACTCAATGTCGCCAATTGAAGCTCAAGAAATTCGAAGTGCGTACCTTTTATGATATCCGATTTGAATCGAAGTTCAACAATTGGATTCGTTATGCTATTAGTTGTAACGTTGAAGAGCTTAACTTATACATTTGGGAGGGGGAGGCTGAGTTTCTATTAAATGAATTTATATTCATCAATTCATGTCTTACTGATCTGAGACTATCAGGATGCAAGTTGAGTCCAACTGGGGCGATTAGTTGGGAAAATCTTAGGAATTTGTGTATTTCTGGGGTGTATTTAGATGAAGACTTGATTGTAAATATAGTATCTGGGACTCCTCTTTTGGAAACATTGATGTTCGCATATTGCAGGTGGCCCAATATTCCTTCAGATGATGATGATGAATTTGAATCTGAATCCGAAGCCCATGATACTAGGTTATCACTAAGTCAATGTCGCCAACTGAAGCTACTCAAGAAATTCACAGTGTATACCAGTTATGATATTAAATTTCAGTCACAGCTCAACAATTGGATTCTCTATGCTATAAGATGTAATGTTAAAGAGCTTAACTTGGATATTTGGAATAACGGATTTGAAGATGAGTTTATGTTAGATCAAATTGTTTTCACGGGTTCATGTTTTACTAAGGTGAGAGTAGAAGGGTGCATGCTTGATCCAGTTGGGGAGATTAGTTGGAAAAGTCTAAGGAGTTTGTGTATATCATCGTATATGAGTTTAGATGAAGATTTGATTGAAAATATATTATCTGGGACTCCTGTACTGGAAACTTTGGAGTTGCATGATTGCTATGGGTTTAGGCGGCTTGATATTACTTCAAAGAGTCTTAAAAACTTGGTGTTATTTAGATACACAGTTCCTTATGGTGAATCTGAAGCCGAGATCATTGAAATCAATGCTCCGAATATTTTATCACTAACAATCGATCATGAAGTTCTTTTGTTGAAGCTTTTGTTTCTAGACGTGTCTTCTTTAGTCAAAGCTCACTTAGATTATACTTGTACAAAGTTCGAGGATCGCAAGAAAACACCAAACGAAGCAGAACAAGAGATGCTTAAAGGATATATAATGGATCTCCGCCATGTCAAGGAGCTTCAACTTGGGTTTTTTTGTTCTAAGGTATAATTTCTTTTGCTTTTTTCCATTTTGTGTAATATCTTATCACTTTTGTTGTCTTCTCACTTGTGTTCTTCGGTTGGTAGGTTCTTTCTTGTTTGCAAGCTAAAGGTTTCATTTCTCCATCAAATGTGAAGCTTATATTGGTAACAGATATATAGGGAGCTGCTCTTGCATGATAGAGGAGGTGCTTTGAGTTCATGTTTAGCCATAAGTTATCATGATTTATTTTCATTTCTTTTTCTGATCCGTTTTCTAAAGTAGACTTGGTTTCATTGGGTTGTGGATTGTTTCTTATGTCAAAATATTAATCAATTGACGTGAATTATTATTAGTTGTTACTACAAAGCATTTATTGTAGTTTTGAAGCTTCATGTTTGTTAGTAGTATCTCTTCTTCTGTAAGTTATGGCATTTTCTTGAGCAGAATAGACAAATTTTTCTTGGTATGATTTTCTCTTGACCAACATATAAGTGGTGTGGTTGTGTTGAGTTTTGAAGTATGGTGTTGTCTAATGTTTTTTCGATGCCAATGCCAGTCACAAATTTGTTGCTTTCTAGATGATTTGTGACTAGATTTCTTTAGAGATGAATTGAACACGGATTTGGGACTGAAAATTGATGAGTGCCGAGTTTTAAGGATGTCAAATCTTGTGTGAGAAGGAAGATAATGCATCTTTGGAGTGGAAAATGGAGTGTAAGAGGGAAGTGTGCACTCAAGAAATTGAGAAAAGAGGTAAATCGAAAGATTTGAAGAGGAGAAACAAGAGACTGACATTATATTGCAAAAATCTTTATTTGATAATTTCTTAAATGACAATCAATGGTTCTTAATGTTTACAACACTTAAAGCTTTTCGCAATATCAATGCCAATCATTTAGGTTTTTGTGTACACTTAGATAATTGGGACTTTTCTTTTCAAAAAATAAAAATAGAGATTTTTCTATAAATTAGAATAAAATAATGGGATTTTTCTAACAATAACCCTTGAATCGGTTAACATTCAATGCGTAGGATACAACCTACAACACTTAAAGTTGTTTGATAACCTATGACTAAACCATTGAATCAATTAGCATTCAATGGGTTTGATACAAAAAGCTAAATTTTATCAAACATGCCCTTATGCCTAAAGAAATATGTTCAATTTTATTAGTCAGCACCAAAATGTTCAATTTTATCAAACATGCCCTTAGGCCTAAAGAAATATGATAATCAGAATTTTCAAGTATCATACATATACATAATTAAAAATCTACAAATAAAACTAAAACAAGTAAAAACCAGCCTCAAAGATTGCATATACAAAAGAGGGGCATTCAACACCAAAAGTGAACTTAAAACAACATATCTCAGTTGTCAAAAGATCCAAATTGTATTCATTCAAATAGTTATTAATTTACAATTTACTAATTACTCCTTCAAGGGAAAGGATACAAAACTGTCCCAAAGTAACTTAGCAAAGAAACATATGGTCCTTTATCATTAACATGATTTGCATCATGACTCTCCATTTAGCGTCATCTCTCGTAAAAAAACAGACCTGCAGGACCTACTTGGAGCTTGAATGTCTCTTCTCGAAACAACTCTACCTCTTTCCACAAACCTACAAAACAAACCATAATTGAGGATGACATGGGCATTCATGTGTTTTCATACAAGAGACAAATATGCTTACGAGGGTAGATCGTATAGGCAGACACCGTTGTCTTTGCATGAACATAACAAGATCAGCTTTCCTTCAAAGTTGTGCATCCCACAAAATGCAAGAATACCCTACAATAGTCAACAAGAAAACCTTTGAATCATATGGTTTCTATAGAGCTATTTTTTATAATGAGGATAGCAAGAACCATAGGCGTAGCTACATGGGTGCAAGACATTGGCAAGGACATTCACGTCTTTTTGCACAGATAAAAGATAAATATGAGTCCTAACCCATCTTTATTGGGGCATAAAAAGTTGCACTTTTTGTCATAATAACATGAGTCCGAACCACAAGTCCATCTTGTTACGTAGGATCCACAAAATGAAGGACATGAAGAAATGCAATATTAACAACTTACACCATCTACATTGTGTTCATAAACTTCCACAATGTTGCCTTTTTCAGTTGCACCCATACCTTGATCTTTTTGTCCAAGGAACCGGACAATAAATATGATCCCAAAATAAAACACATTGCCCGTAAGTCCATGTAAGACATGCATACACTCTAGAGATTCACTATCCCACCCCTGAATCACAATCAGAAACATCAAAGACAAATGAATTTTTGAATAACAAATAATTAAACTATAATGTTTAAAGCCTAGTGATTTTCAACCCAACCCATTTGACTAAATGGGTTAACCAATTTAATTTAAATAGGTTAAATATCTCAACTCAACCCCTTAATTTTGGGTTGGGTTCAAATTGTTTTAGTGGGTTGGATCACTTTGTACACCTACTATTGATAGTTTCAAATATTCTATATAAATAAATACAAAGTTACAAATAATCTAAATTAATAAAAACAAAAAACACCCCAATCCAACATCTAACTCCAGCTCAATAACAATTAACAAACCAGTCAAGCACAAATCTTGAATTCACCTCAAAGATTGCATATATACAATTAGGGCATGGATGTAATTCTGTATTCACACCAAGAGTAAAATAAAATAAAACATCTCAATTCAACTTGTATTCATTCAAATAAATGATAAATGTTAAATGTTAATTTACAATTTACTCCTTCAAGGGGAGGGTCACCATGGTCATCCAAACAATACAAAACTACCTTATCAAAAACCAACTTATTGACGTTTGTCATTAACAAGATTTGGATAATGATTCTCCTCCAGTTAGAGTTAGCTTCCAAACTGAGATCAAACCTGCTTCATCACCAGTAAAAAACAAACCATCGGGACCCACTTGGATCGCTTGAATGTCTCTTCCTGAAACAACTCTGCCTCTTTCCACAAACCTATAATAAAAAAACAAACCATATTAACTGTCATAACTAGCTTCCAATTACACGATTACATCATAAAATAAAAAAGCTACAAAGAGACTTACGATGGCAGATCATATAAACAAACACCATTGTCTTTGCACGAACATAGCAAGATCGGCTTTCCTTCTGCATCATGCATCCCACAAAAAGCAACAACATCCTGCAAAACCCCAAAAAAATCATCTCATTTCTTATGCTATTTTTTGATGATGAGGATGACAACATCTTGTTATGTAAGACCCAAAAAATAATAAAAATGAAAGGGAAGTACATAAAGAATGCTATATTAACAACTTACATCATCTACATTGTGTTGATAAACCTCCTCAATGTTGCCATTTTCAGTTTCACCCCAAACCTTGATCTTTTTGTCCAAGGAACCCGACAATAAACACTGATCCCAACAAAGAACTGTTGTCACATCACCCGAATGTCCACTTAAAACCTGAATACACTCTAGGGTTTCAGCATCCCATACCTTCAACAACAACAAAAAAAATGAACCACAATCAGAAACATCAAATACAAAAGAATTTTTAAAAAGCAAATTACTTATTAAACTACTATAATGTTTAAAACAACATACTCGTATGGTATTGTCAGCAGAACCAGAATATAGCTTTTTAGCTCCAACAACAAGGGAAAGTACAGGTCCTGTGTGGCCTTTCAAAGATGTTGCCACTGCAGAGAAACTCGTTTCTGAAGTTGATTTCCATGACAAAATGGTACCATCCTGCACATAAACATAAAAATGAAAATTAATAAAACGGAATGAACGATTCCATTCCTTTCCTGATTCCATTCCGTTCTATTTACCTACCTCCATTCCGGCGAAAAGAACGTCTTCAAACATCGTAATTGCATTAACTTGTCCACCGCTTCCTCGAATAATTACTTCATGTTGTGTGTTGAGATTCCAAGCTTTAATCATATCTCGTAGACCAACAAAAATCCATTGACCTTCGTTGACTAAAGTCCCACATTCGTCATCAAAGGCAAAAACTGCTCCACACTGGTAAACACAAAAAGATAGCATAAATAACATGGTAAGTGTGTTCTCATAAATGGAAAAAGATTCAAGAAAATCAAACAAACCTGTCCACTATTACAATCCAAAACTCGTAAAGATTTATCCTTGCTACCACAAAAGAGCTTGTTGGATCCAGATGGCAAAGCAATCCCGGTTATAGCCTGATACAAAGTTATGATTGTTAGATAAGGTTCAAAGTCTACAAGAATAAAAACAAACACTTGATTTACCTTTGTATGCCCTTCTAAACGGGTCACCATTGACAGTCCCTTGCCATAGAACCCCGGATGCAAGTTCTTGCTGTTTTTCTTGGGGATGCTTTTAGTTTGACCAGGGTTTACTTCATTTGTCAACAATTTGTGTTGGGACTTGTGAACATTCTGATTTAGGTTGGAGTTCTCTTTGTTCTTCAAAAATTTTGTTTGGGTCTTCTCAATGGGAGGTGAATTCTCTGACTTCAATGTATTTGGATTCTTCCATGCATATTTTGATTTACTGATTGCTTGATCCGGGTGCTTAAATTTGCAAGGATTTCTCGTGCATCTTCCTTTCAACCAATACTTGCAGACCAGATTTTTCACTTGATGACTTCTTGCGATATTTTCTTGATTTCCTCTTCCAAGCCTCTTGAAAACTGATGTGTCCGTCTTCACTGAGAATCTTTTAGCTGCTTCCGTTGCCATACTAAATAAAATACATACACATCCATGATTAGTTGCTTTCCAACAGATTCCTTCTCAAAGAAAACCATAACGAAAGATCCCTGATTCCTTTCCACGATCATAAACCCCAAAAGTCATGCAGAACGAGTAGGAAAACTGTTGATCAGTGCATCCTTCAGGTCCTCGGACAACAATGGCAGAATCCATACGTTCCAGAAAACCGTTCAGACCCATCGGTGATCAAAAACTTCCAAGAATGTGTTCTACTTGTAGAACTAGTTATATCATCTAATGAAGATCCTAACGCCTACCAACCCAATCCATAACCAAGAAACAACAAATAACACGCAAGTAAACAAATTCCCTAAAATAGCATAAAAACCCTAATCCTATATCTATCGAACCACCGGCTAAAATCGTAAAAATCAGATCCAATCATCTGTTGCAGTCCCGTTAACAAACTTTCACCGATGATTTGATCGAGATACATATATACTACAACGGCATAAACTCCTACGGTAACAAAGATCTAGAAGAATATTGATCGTAATCACAATAAACTATCAAACCTGTTGATTGATCGTGTCCCGAAATTGCTGAGTCGATTTGTGAAAGCTTTCGATTGATCAGATTAATTAAAACGCAAGGTTTATGATTAGGGTTCGGATATTGAGGGTGAGCAATCGAATTGAGGATTTGTTGCTTTGCGTTTTCTTTATATAGGCAATGGTCGAGCGTTCCTTGGACGCCAAGGTATTTTCTCGCATTTTTTTCTCTGTATATATTTTAAATATTTTCAAAAATAAAAACACCTGTTTGAAATTGAAAAAAATTATAATATATATTTTAAAAAAGAGAAAATGACTTAGTAATTAACTTTTTTGTATGTTCATATTTAGGTAATTATCTTTTTTTTTTATACATCTAGATAACAAACTTGTTGGAAGTGTTCATATATGACCATTATGACCTGCTATAGCAGGTTAAATCCTAGATGTGAACGCTTTCAACCAGTTCGTTACCTATATGTGTACAAGAAAAATAGTTACCCAAATGAACAAAACGAAAAATAAAAGTAAATTACACGAATGGTCCCTGTGGTTTGGGGGAATTTATGTTTTTTGTCCCTAAATTATTTTTTTTTAACTTGGATGGACCCTACTGTTTATTTTTGTTACGCGTTTGGTCACTGTCTTCCATAAAAAGACTATTGTGCCCTTATTAATTTATTTTTAAATTAATTGTCTTATTTATGTATTCATTTTTTGCATATCTAAAAAAATTAATAGACCCTACATATTTGTATCTCCTCGGATGAACCATACTGTTTATTTTTTAATTAATTTATTTTTTTAACTCGGATGATCGCTACTTTTTAATTTTGTTACGAGCTTGATCTCTGTCTTACCTAAAAAGACTATTGTGCCCTTATTAATTTATTTTTTTTAATTAATTTTCTTGTTTATGTATTTCTTCTTTACATATTTAAGAAAAATTAATAGACCCCACACATCTGTATCTCCTCACCATCTCATCTCTCATCCTCCTCAACTTATATTTATTTTCCATCTTTAGTGATATCGACGTCTTCATCATCCCTTCTTTTTTTTCGGTTCTTCAACTCAGCGAATCAACACCACAACCCACTAAAGATGAAGAGACAGTAGGTTATGATGTTGGTTCGCCAGAGTTGAAGTACCAAAAAAAGAAGGATTGTGAAGACGTCGATGATACTAAAGATGAAAAAGAAATAGAAGTTGGGGAGGATGAGAGATGGGATGGTGACCGGTAAGACCCAAATTAAATTTCTCAAATGTGGTTTTAGGTTTACGGTGAGGAGATACAGATATGTGGGGTCTATTAATTTTTTTAAATATATAAAAAATAAATACATAAATAAGAAAATTAATTAAAAATTAAATTAATAAGGGCAAAATAGTCTTTTTAGGTAAGACAATGACCAAACGCATAACAAAAATAAACAATAGGGACCATCCGAGTTAAAAAAAATAAGCTAGGGACCAAAAACACAAATTCTCCCAAACCATAAGGACCATTTGTATAATTTATTTTTATTTTTCGTTTTGTTCATATTTGGGTAACTATTTTTTTTTACACATCTAGGTAACGAACTTGTTGAAATTGTTCACATCTAGGATTTAACCTGCTATAGCAAGTCATAATGGTCATATGTGAACACTTCCAACAAGTTTGTTACTTAGATGTGTACAAAAAAAAGATAGTTACCTAGATGTGAACATGCCGAAAAGTTAATTACCTTAATAAGTCATTTTCCCTTTAAATAATAATTAGATGAGGTGATCCGTGTCATTGGTGTAAGTTTGAATGGTCATCTAACATCTGAAAATTATAATATAATTTTTTAGTTTTAAATAAAATAATATCATTGTTTCCAACCAAAACATAATTCATAAGAAACAAATGACTGAGTATAAATATTCCATAATCCATATGTCATAACATCTCCAAACATGTCACCAAAGGAGGTGTATGATCACGCTTTTGTTTTCCCCCGATCATTAGAAGTACCTGAAACATAACACTTAAACCGTAAGTCAAAGCTTAATGAGTTTCCCCAAAATACCACCACACAAACATATAACAACATGCATACTAGGTCCACAACCATCGGGACTATATTATCCCTGAGCCCACAACATGAGTATGACTTGCCTTTCTGGCCCACATCTCATGTATGGAGTACTCCTAAGCTCACATAATAAGTTTGGCTTGCCTTTCTGGCCCATAGATTATGTCTGACATGCTCACGGGTTTGTTGGCTTCCGCACATAGCAGTATTGACTCAACCCAACCACACTAGATCAACATATGCAACAAATAAACATGTAACAGTAATAGATAAACAAGTAGATCTTAACAAATCACTGCACCATAGCAACATCCTAAACCATGATACATAATCTACTAGGTCGGCATTGGTGCCTTCGACCCCCCAAGTACAGTGAGGAAACTCACCTCATAGTCTGAAATGTAGTTGAATAGATCACAGTTCCAACTGCTGAATCTATAGGTCACCTATACAACAAACAGTGACTTAACCTCAAACTACTGCTCAAAATACCCAAAATGCCCTTAGGTCAAACTTGGTCAAACCCCAAGTCAAAGTCAAGGTCAAAAAGTGAATAATTCTATATAGGCTGAGTACGCCCTGCGTACTCCCCTCTACGCCTAGTGTAGAGGGTGCCTTCACAAGTTACGGGTTTGAATCTTGGTACGCCCAGCGTACCAGAGCTAAATCCCCACTTTTCTATTAAGTTCTTATTTCATTAAGCCAAACAACCCAACTTTGGATCCAAGTAAAAAGGGACGTCTTAATGGATAAAGTCTCTGACTTTATCCATTTGCATGCATACAAGAGGTTAAAAACTCAAACCCTTGGTCCAAAAGTCATCCAAAGTCCCAAAACTCTTGCATGGCTTAATGAGAATGCCAAAGCTCCCATTTTTATGAATTTATGAGTCCAGTACTACAGATAACTACATTTCAAGGACCTGGAGTAGCTCATACTCCTTTAGACCAAAATTATGGGACCAAAAGTGTACATAAACTCTAGACTAACAAGATCTAAGCAAATAACACATCAAGATCCAAGCTTTAGATCTTCAAATGATGCTTGAGGGTGAGATACTTCTGGATCTAAGTGGCCTTGAGCTTCCAATATGAATCTACTATATCCTCCTTCCTTCAAGAGCACAAAATACACTCTTTAAAGCTCAAAATGCTTACATAATGGATTAGGGTTTACTAGGGACGAATTGGGAGATGGGGGTTGATGGGGGAAAAGGTCTTGAGGCTATAATGATGCTTAAATATGGCTCAAATCCTAAAAATCAGGGTTTGACCCTCAGCCATGTACGCCCTGCGTACCAATGAGTACGTCTGGCGTACTCACTTAAATCTGCGTCCAACTGTAAAGAGTTACACCATGCGTACGCCCCAAGTACGCATGGATTAAGGACCCAAAATGCAACAAAATTTCATTTAGGGTTAAAAATGGAAGTTTACCTGAATCGGGGTGTTACAATCCCCCCCCCCACCACTTGAATCAGACTTTATCCTCGAAGTCTGATGCTATGAATAATTCAGGACAGTAGTCTCACATCTCTACCTATGGTTCTTAAGTCCATTTGGAACCCTTCTGATGTTGTCACTAGACTTTGACCAATGATACCACCTTGTTGCTCAAGGCCTTCGTCTTCCTACCCATAATTGCTACCGGCCTCTCAATGTAGTTCAAGAGATCATCAACTTGAATATCATTCAAAGGGATCACTGTTGATTTATCAAGTATACACTTCCATAGCTGAGAAACATGAAAGGTGTTGTGAATCTAGCGAAGCTCCTCATGCAGATCCAATCGATAGGTCACCCTGCCTACCGTGGATGTCACTCAAAACGAACCAATATATCGGAGCCCCAACTTGTCCCTCTTCCTGAAGCGTACTATACTCTTCCAGGGTGATACCTTCAGTAAAACCATATCGCCAACCTGGAACTCCAACTCGGATCGACGTCTGTTAACATAGCTCTTCTGCAGACTCTGTGTAGTCTGCAACCTTTGACTGATCTACTGAATAAGATATGTCGTCTGAAGAACTACGTCAATTTTTCCCATGACCCTATGACCGATGGGCAGCAACTAGAGACTTTCTTCTGTAAGATTCAACTTCTCGAGGCGAGTTTCCTCACTGGGTTTAGCGGGTCGAAGGCACCAATGTCGGCCCATGTTTATGTTATGATAGTATGATAGATGTCTTCGTGACTCTTGCATGTGTATGTGTTTATATGCTTTCCGGGCTAAGGCCAGATGTCGGGAGGAGCCTGATGACTATTTGTATGCCATGTATCTATGTGGTTATTGCATTTGTATGTGTTTATTTGATATATGCTATATGTATGCTGACGGGGCCTGATCTATTACCGAGCGGGGCTCGATGTCGGGCGGGGCCCACTATATGTTTATTTTATGTTTGGTATGTGGTAATTTGGGGGAACTCACTAAGCTTTGTGCTTACAGTTTCTAGTTTATGTTTCAGGTACTTCCAGTTCTAAGGGGAAGAGCTCGAGTTGACTGCATCGCACACACCAGTGGAGTTCCGCATTTGACATTCACTCTGATTTTGATAACACTTGATACATTAGTTTTGTTGTGAATGATTGCTATTGAAAAATACTATTTTATCTATTATAAGAAAATGAAATTTTGGGACTATATTTTTGGAATGTTACAATATAATACAAGAAAAACAATATTGCCTAGACTAATAATTAGTCGCAATAAATATTAGATTAAGATATAGTAATAATGATATTAGGTTTCGTCAAATGAAGATAAAATTGTTAGAAGCAAAGCGCTGCCCAAGTTTAGAGTCATCACTTTAACAAGTGAGTGCATAGTTACTTTCATCTTACACATAGATATTAAGTATTTAATATAAATTACGTGCTATGTGTGCATATTATCTGTGTTCTTGATATATATGCTGGATGAACAAAATATTCATGTTTTTTTCGATTTAAACTGTATATGTATTTTATACATATAATTATGATGGGTAAAGATGGGTAGATGATATAGATGATGAAATAAATGATGAGAGGCCTCGATGTTTAAGCTGATCCAATCATCTAGCAGAGTATAGATGATGACCACAGACTATTCTAGACATTCTAATAGAACGCTGGCAGGCTCGCAACCTGTAGGTGTTTTTGAACTACGTGTTCACCAGGTGTACTCCATCTCCCTCATGGTTGCCTTACTGACATATATTGATGAGGAATCCACTAAGCAATATTGTCTTCCCGATGGTGATCCTTAGGTTAGGTCCCTTGAATTAGATGCTTTACGGACAGAAAGTGAGGATCACGGGAACGACTAATCGAGTTGAATGATTTGATGAAATTAATAAACTTAATTATTGTGGGTTGAAAACTCTATGTGCTCACCAGGCTCCCAAACCTGACTCACTCAATTTCTTGTATTACAGGTACTGGCAAGAGAGCACATGAGTGTTGAACTGATGAGATATCTATGGACTATAGGTCATTAGAATAATAGATGTTGTAAGGTCTATACTATTTTTGTTTATGCTTATGTACTGTATTGACAATGACAACCCAACGTTTTAATATAATGAAAACCCATTCCTTCGGGAATGCTTTGATAATTTACTTATCATATTTTTGGGAACAAATTCTGCAACATATTTCTTCAAAAGTATAATATGATTTTCAAATAAAGCATAAACAAATCGGTTTTTTCTGGCCGTGAAAATGGGGATGTCACGTGTATTTTCAGGGTTATCACATTGATGTACGAACAGATCGGTGGCGCATGAAGGTTTTCAGGCTACATCTGGTGATTTCCAACATAAGAATCCGTAGATCGTTTACAGATGGTGTTGGCGAATGGTGGTTGCATTCGGGGTGGTCTTAGGTGTGTGTTTTTCAGAGATAGATAGATAGAGAGAGAGAGAGAGAGAGAGGAGAAGACCATTTTATAATTTTTAATTTTAAAATCAATAAAATTAATATTAAAATAAAAAAATAAATATAAGGGGTATAATCATCTTTTTAAGTGGATATGGACCAAAACCAATAAAAAGATATAATTTTAGGCCACTGGTGCACCACCAAATTTTTTCTGACCAAACCCATATAATTTTACTAATTGTAGGGATCATTTTTTGTAATTTTATAAAAATTAACTTGATAACTACAAGAAGAAAATAAAAATAAAGAAAAAGGTTGAAACAGAAGGTCGGCAGAGCCTTTAAAATGATTGGGAGTTTTGACTTTTGATGATAGAGAGGTTTGAACTCAGTAGAGGAGGTATGAAAAAAGAAATAAGCACTTACCGATAGACAATGTTCATAGAAAATGTACAATCACACTATAAAAACTTTTTATAAGGTTACTACTCGATTACCATCATAATTGTAAGTTGTACAAGGATACTGTTAACACGAACTGACATGAAAATTAAACAAGTTTATTTATTTGAAAGTTTTTTTAGATAAACTAGAAAAACTAGAATCAAAACCATATATAAAAGAAAAACTTTGGATTGAATCATTTTGTAATATAAAGACTTCATTTTCAGTTTTATCTATTCTCTCCCAAAGTTGCAAAGTTCCTCCAGTCACTCCCTACTCCTCATGATCTCGTCAATCTGCGTCTCCAACTTTTATTCTCTTCAATTTGCATTCTAAACTTACTATTAGTCTAGTCATTTCGTCTCCGAATTGCTACTTTCTTTTCGGGGGTTTTTTTTTTCTATCTACCTAACTTCTACTCTTTCAACATATTTAGTGTTTCAACCTCATATGACACAACATATTTCAAGGTCTAACCATAACCCAAACCCGATACGAAAATAAATAGGCTTACACGACACGATAATTAAATAGATTAGGTTAGGTTCAAGTCCTTTCAATCCTTTTGTTTCAACATGACACGAACCCGAAACAACACTTTTCACAATCCTACTATCGGTGCTTGGTAGATATCACACTAAGGGGGTGTTTGGCTTATCTTTTGAGAGGCCAAAAGGACTTTTGGGAAAAGTTACAAAAAGTTAGGATTTCCTGACTTTTCCAAAAAGTCAGTTTTTCTTATATCAAAATCCCAAAAGTAGCTTTTAAAATGCTTTTACCAAACATTTTTTCCCTTCTATCTTTTTTCTAAAAGTCCTTTTGGTCTCTCAAAAGATAAGCCAAACACCCCCTAATAAACAAGGACTGTTAGGTCATTAAAGAAAAGTAGAAGGGCTTCGTCAACAAAGTGGAATTTGTTTTCTTAAAAAAAAACCCCTCAAGAAAAATAGTGAAATTCGCAGCCATGGGGAGCTCTGAAGAAGCAAAGCTTCAACTGCTTCTTGAATGGTTAAAGGTAGACTCATGAAGATTCTATGTACTTTTTCTTAGCTTATTATTGATCCTCTCTATTTAGTTTTCGTGTGATAATTTCTGATTATTTGATACATTATTCGAATATTTGTAAAATGCCCAGTTGAATGGAGTGGAATTGCGCGGTTGTAACATCAAATACAGCGATTCGAACAAAGGGTTTGGCGTATTTTCATCTGATGGCGCTACTGATGGTAATTTGAAACTTATTTCATCACCTTCTGATTTATTATTGTATTGAGATTATGTTATAATAGAACTGTTGAAATCAAATTTTTTTGTTCTTTATTGAATGATAACTGAACTCAAACGAGTGTTCGGATATGCTGCAAAACCTTAATAATCAATTTTGCACTCTGTCAAATCTTCTTATTTTGAAATTATGTCAGGAGTTTTACTGGTGGTTCCTCTTAATTTGGCTATAACTCCAATGAGGGTATTACAAGATCCAATACTTGGACCTGTATGTTCAGCATTGTATGAGGAAGGAGAAGTGGATGACAGATTCTTGATACTTTTGTTTCTTACTTTTGAATCTATAAGGAAGAATTCTTCATGGAAACCGTATGTATATAAACACAAGTTACACTTATATATATATATATATATATATATATATATATATATATATATATATTTCTTTTTAGATTTTCATATATTGAGCAAAAAATGGAAATATTAGGTACCTTGATATACTTCCAACTAGTTTCGGGAACCCACTTTGGTTCTCTGAAGATGAGCTTTTGGAGCTAAAAGGAACTACTTTGTTTAAAGCAACCGACTTGCAGGTGTGATTTAAAATAGAATTTAAACTCTTGGTTGTTTCTTTAACACAAAAGCGCACATAGTTTTTTTTAATATTAATTAAATTATCCTACCCAACAACTTTATGAAAATATTCAAGTTAGGGTTAAATGCAAGAAAAAACAACATACTTCAATTTATTTGTTTATTATAACATCATACTTTTGTTCCTTCCTGTTATAGCATTGTACTTTAAAAAATATACACAATTGTAGCAATGTCATCTAAACATAATTGAGTAGATCTTTCAAAGTATAATGTCTTAATAAGAAAAAAAATTGAAAGTACAATGTTGTAGTATATTACATCATGTATCTTTAATATTGTTGGCTACTTAAGATTTGTGAATTTAACATAGGATTTATGTTACAGAAGAAGAGTTTGCAGTCCTTGTATGATGATAAAGTGAAAAAGTTGATGAAGAAGCTTTTGATTCTTGATGGTGACTTAGAAAGGTGCCCATCATATTTTTTATACCAATAACATAAATTTTCATTTAGAAATATGTGTATCTAAACTTCTCCATTATTGAGGTATTACCGTTCATCACTGTTTACTTTATATAAACATTCCTCTCTTTACCTATCTTATAAACAGTTAACTATAATCTCATCCGTTTACTAATTTTAATTCCCTGTTTTTCTGTTTTGTAGTGAAGTTTCTTTCCGTGACTTCCTTTGGTACAAATCTTTCTCTAAAAGCTATGGATTTAATTTAAATGCAAGAAATATCAATGTTCTTTAATATATTTGTGTATTATAGCATCCTACTTTCGTTTCTTTGTATTACATCATTGTACCTTCAATCTTTTTCTTATCAAAGCATTGTACTTTGGAAAATCTACCTATTTATAGCATTGTACTTTTAAATGTTTTTATATTGTAGCATTGAAAATTGCTTTGTATTTTGATGACATTGCTATAATTGGATATATTTTTTAAAGCGCAATATTGTAAGAGGAATCAATGAAAGTAGGATGCTATAACAAACAAATCATTGAAAGTACATTGCTAGTTCTTACATTTAACCCTTTTTTTTTAAGTTTCCCATGATTATCTCCTTGTTGTTATAATTATAGGGCGAATTCAATATTTTGGACACGTGCTCTAAGTATACCACTTCCTCGTTCTTATGTATTTCCCCAAATTCAAGAAGAGCAACAAAATCATGATTCCAATTCAGAGTTGGCTAATGGTGATAATGGCAAAAGTGAGTTTTCTTTGTAAATATGATTTTAATAATGAGAAAAGTGGAATACTTATATTTACTCATTAAATTTCAGAACATGAAGTTGAAAGTGGGGTCGATTCTTCTTCTATACAAGAAGAGACTGTCTGGGTTGAGGGTCTTGTCCCTGGCATTGACTTTTGCAACCATGGTACTTTCCACTGAAGTCCCTGAACTTTTACCTATTTGTTAATAAGCCCTTGCATATAAAGCTTTTGTAAATAAGCTCTCCCCAAAGTTACTTTTATGTAAAATACTCCACAACTTAACAGATTTAAAGGCTGCTGCAACATGGGAAGTTGATGGAACAGGATCTGCAACCGGTGTTCCATTGTCCATGTATCTTCTTTCTGGTAATTATAACTTTTTTTAGAACAATCAAAAGACTTTTTGATGTTAAAAGACCATTTTGCCCTTTGCATTAATATAGTCGAAGAAGCTCGTCTTCAAAGTGGGAAAGAGATATCAATTAGCTATGGTAACAAAGGAAATGAGGTACAATCATCACCACCATTATAATTCTTAAAAAAAAAAACTTATTTTTGTTCAAACGGGGTTTTAAGATAAATGCATACATTTTTTTTTCTTCCTTTTATGATACTATTCTGGTATTTTAATTGCAGGAACTTCTATACTTATATGGATTTGTCATGGATAATAATCCAGATGACTATATCATGGTAATCTTTTCCTGTATCTAATGTCATTAAACTGAATCCCATTTATTGATCTTTTCATGGTTAATTTCTCAAGGGCAATATGGTCAACTTACGTAACCATATTTACTCTTTCACAGCTTCACTATCCAGCTGAAGCTATCAAGGATGTACCGTTTTCTGAAACCAAAATACAACTTCTAGAAGCACAAGTCAGTACAAATTATATTACCAATTTTCATCACTATAAATACTGTGATGGTTTTACTTATGATGCTATGCTACATTTTTATAATCAACAGAAAGCTGAAATGAGGTGTCTTTTATCAAAAACTTTACTTGATCATGGGTTCTTCTCGAACAAAAAAGAAACAAATGGTAAATGTAAAGAAAATGAAGTTCCCAATTTTAGTTGGAGTGGTCAAAGAAAGACTCCATCTTACTTGAACAAACTTGTTTTTCCTGAAGAGTTCTTAACTTGCTTAAGGACTATAGCCATGGGGGAAGATGAGATATATAAGGTTACATCGTTGCTTCAAGAGGTGCACTCATATTTCTGCTTTATTTGTTTGCAATAAATACCAACATACTTTCATTTATTTGATCATTATAGCATCCTACTTTCATTTCTTCTTATTACAACACTGTATTTCAAAAAAATCTAACAAATTATAGCAAATATCATCTATACACAAATCAATTTTCACTTGGTAAAAATTTCAAAGTATAATGTCCTAATAAGAAAAAGATTGAAGTACAATGCCTTAAAAGAAAAAAAAAATGGAAGTACTATGATGTAGTAGAAAGAAATGAAGGTATTATGCTATAAATATAATACAGAAATAAATGAAAGTATGTTGCTGTTTCTTACATTTAGCACTAGTTTTTATAACCATATCAACACAAAAATTTGTATTTTGATTATCGTGTGAGTAATCTATATATTCTGTTTAAAGCTTGTTGGTTCAGATGGGGAGAGACAACCATCGGATATAGAAGTTCGTGCAGCAACATGGGAAGCTTGTGGGGATTCGGGCGCCCTACAATTGCTTTTTGACCTTTTAAATACAAGGTATTTTTTTTTTTCTTTCTGAATAAATGATGTTTAATTTTATTTAATGAGTTTAATGTGCTAAGCACTTAATCTGGAGTCTGGACAGCTGTACATGGCTGTTTCTTTTTTTGACTTAATCCGGACAGAATGGTATAACAGGTTAAGCCAAAAAAACTCTGGCTTGATGTATTTAGACACTAACCTTTTGCCCTTCTTTATTCCTTCCAACTCCTCCCATGTTTAAATTGATGAATATTGTGATTTTTTTTTAGAATGTAAGGGTAAAATGGTTATTTAGTCTTGATTACATTAAGACTGTTTATTCAGTCTAGAAGAAAAACCTTTTTATCCAGACAGACATCATTACCTATTCAGCTACTTTATCTGTGGTGTATAGAAGTTAATGAGAATCAAAAAAGAAACAACCCTTTAGTTTGAAACAATTGAAAAAGATTTTCTTCTTGGTTTTGTGAAATTTAAAGGATGATGGATCTAGAAGAGGGCTCTAGAACAGAAGATTCTGATACTCAAATACTTGAGAAGGTCTACTGCTACAATAATACACACAAAGAAGGAAAAAGGTACGAGATTTCAAGTGCTAAATAATTAACTTGTAGTTTTGACAATTTTCTTTTTAATGGCTGAATGGTTTTTGTATTTTCTTGTTTTCTGGTAATTTCATATTGAAGCAATGGGGCACCAAAGAAGGAAGAAATCAGTCAAAACAAATGGTCAAGCATAGTATACAGGCGAGGTCAAAAACAACTCACTCAGCAGTTTTTAAAAGAAGCAGAACATGCGTTACAATTAGCTTTAAGCGAATGCAATTAAAATAAAACCTGCCTTTGACCGGATTAGTGGCAACTCTATCTTCTAACTAATAGATCAAAAGATTTATCATCACCTACTACTTTGATTATGATTTTTTGGCTGGGGGTTGATTCCAATGCATTATGCTGATTTTTCCTTGTGGCAATGCTTCCTTGACTTGTACTAGGTGCATTAAGTGTAGTACATGTTACATTTGGCTGGTGAGGTTATATGTACATGACCGATCTTGTTTTGTCATTCTTTTTGGTTTGCAGCTTGTTCGTTGATTCATGTATTTTGCATTATTGAACATCCTTTTGTGGAATTTCTCTTTCAAATTAGACACTTGTGCAAGAAATAGCAATGGAGTTTCCTTTTTTTTTTTTTCATTTTATTATAGGAATGTATATTAAATTTTTTTAGGCAATTATATTTTGAAAAATATACATAGCATAAAACGTTCATTTCTTTCTAAAAGATTATACTTTAGTTGTTTAAAATAAGAGCGCCATACATCAAATAACATATGTTTACAATAAATAAATAAATCATGAATTAAACATGGTCCCAAAACTCATGTTGACAAAAAAAAAAAAACATTTGGACGTAAGCTTTTTGTCTCCCACTTAAAAAATCAAAGTTTCAAAAGCGACACTAAACAAACTTTGAAACCAAGCGTTAAGTAATTAATATAATGGAGTTTCCATTTGTTCCATATACGTATCTTTCTTGTAAGAGTAAATTACACGAATGGTCCCTATGGTTTGGGGTAATTTACGCGTATAGTCCCTACATGAGCTCCAATTAGTTTATTCAAGTGTACACTCTGCACAAAGGGAGCTCCAATTAGTTTATTCAAGTGCCCCCGGATCCCCGTGTTCATGAGCTCCAATTAGTTTATTCAAGTGTACACTCTGCACCTCCAAATTCGGATTAAAGCCTACGTTGAACTCAACTTGGCTCAGGTTAATCCTAACTATACTAAATGGATTGTTGACACTAAAAAATTGTTACTTTAGAGCATCATATGAAAAACAATATTTGGTGGTAATGCATACACCGGTTGAATATTCTCTACAAGTTACCATATCCCATTATGTCATTTCCCGGGATGAATGGCGTTTAAAACATACATTTGTGAAAATAACAACATACTTGGGAAAATTGAAGGTAAAATAAGTGAGGGAATCTTTGCATTTGTTAGAACTTAACATGGAGAGCCTCATTTACCTGACTCTCTCTATTAAATTGTTTTTACTGCATTTAGTAAAAGAGAACAACTTTTCCCATTAAGTCCCTTTGTATGTTTTAAGTTAAGAGACTACACTTATGGCTTATAGTCTTAAGTTCTACCCTCATTATTCAATCTCTTAATTCAAAATAATCGAAAATGATTTCGACGGTTTCATGATTTCAAAGGATGATGGGTCTTGGTGAGGGCTCCTAAAAAAAGAGAAGGCCTAAAAAGTCGTTACTAGAACTACTTTGCTTTTCGAAATTGATTGTTCTACATAATTTGACCAATAATTCTATTCAATGTCGATATGATTGAATGGTTTTTATAATGCCTTTTACGAAATTTAAATAGTACACATAAGAAAGTAAATATATGCATCTGCACCCTTTACAAATATATAAATAAGTAAAATGGAAACTATAAATTTAACAATTTTGTTTGGCTTGTAACTTGTGCATTGACTTCTGTAACTTGCATTATTGAACATCCTCTTGTAGAAAATTCAATCTAAAAATAGAAACTTTAAACAACCCATGTATTGTTGACTGGGGGAGTTATTTATGATTCATTGACATGGAATTTGGATCTTGAAATATCTTACTGCAACACCTTTTTTTTGTAACTTGTGCCTTTCCCTTCTTACATTGCATTATTGAAAATCCCCTTGTGGTATTTCTTTCTCAAAATAGAAAATTTTAAACAACCCATGTTCTATGCATATGCTGTGTCTACATTTGGTATGCATATGCGTTTTGAAGATGCTTATATCAATATGTATAAATAAAATCATTATAATGGACTTAAAACCTAATGTACCCAATAGACCCTTTTTCCATTATTGTTCATGCCCACAAAACCAAATAAAATTTACCTAAACACAAAAATAATATATATATATATATATATATATATATATATATATATATATATATATATATATATATATATATATATATATAACAATTAAACCAAAGGTCTCCTTTCCTCTTCCTCTTGGTTTCTTCTGTTTTCATCATTACCCAAAGGCACTTCTTTCCTCTTCTGAACCATTCTTGGAGTTGGTTTGTTCTCTGGGATCATTTTTAACACGATTCCCATTGCAATTAGAATCAAACCGGTCCCATGTTGCTCTGTTAATGGCTTTGTGAAGATCAAGTAAGATAGCAACAATGTCACCGCCTTTCTAGCTGTTGTTATCTATCAAATGCAATTTGGTGCAAGTTTAGTAACACAAAGTACAACACGTGATGGATGATTATGTGATGTGATGTGATGTACCTCCAATTTGTTTGGTTACAAAATGTTTTTGTAACAAATGAGATCTTTCAAAGGAATTGGAATTTATCATGTGTTTGGTTTGCTAGAATATCGAACGAAATGAAATAAATAAAAATTTAGTAATTTATAATAAAATTTCACTTTTAGTTACATTTTTTATTTTTGTTTATTTCAATATTATGTACACATATAATGAGGGTTTTAATAAAAAAAAAAGAGAGAATCGTAATGAATTTCCTCCCACGGACCATAAGAAATCCATCACACATGGAATTTGAAGCAATATGACGAAATTTGATTTAGTCAATTTGGCAGCCAAACATGCGACGGAATGGAATCTCGGATTCCAATTCCGTCGGATTCAAACATGTCATGGAATGGAATCTCGGATTCCAATTCCGCAAGTATCCACAAACCAAACGCGTCCTTGGTGAATGAAAATGTTAAGAAGTCAAAATTAAAGAAAATGTACCATGGCAGTGGTGGCGGCTCCAAATAAGGCAATGAGCGAAAGGACGGAAACCTGCCCGATAAATGTCGCCATTGCTTCGAATATCAACACGCCATAGACATAAGGATGCTGTAGTTGTACCCACAAAACAAAATTGGTCAAAGGTCATGTTTTGACTTTTCGGTCAAAATAATAATGTTCAGAAGTCCAAATCGGACAATAGAATCTTGAAAATTTTTCACGATTTCTTCAAAGATACTCTACACATTGCTACAAGTTGGCACAATATGTAACCATAGGGGTAAAATCTGTGATGATTTGTATCAATTATCGACTTTAAAAAGTAGATGTTTGACCTAAACTTCAAATTAAATATTTTGTAAGACTTTTGTGATAACTGCAGTAATCATTATACACCTGTGACACCAATCACAAAGCAAATGTCTTGTGCCTGTATAGAATTCAAACTAAAGTGAACTTGAAAACTGACAGGATTGGCCTTTTAGGTCAAACCAAGAAGTTTTAAAATTCAAATTCAACAGGAAAATCTCGACAGTTTAAAAGGCACTTCTTACAGATATGTTAAATAATAGTATAACATGTATCACAATAAGAAAAAAACGATATCATTTTGATGAAAAAAATCCGTATCTATTTTGAATTCAGAAACTACTACCGATGACTTGAAAAGTTTAATCAAGAGATAAGTGTAATCAACCTGCCAACAAGAACTCCAAGCTTTGAATAATTCCCCTGTCAAAAGCATTGGAGGAATCAAAAAAGGCAAACCCACAACAGTTGAGCAAAATAGCATCTCCATCTGCACAAGAAAACCTAAATTTCAATACCAAAAACAAACAAACAAACAAACAAAAAAAACTCTACTTTTTTCTGAATTGGTTGCTTTATTCACACCCAAGGAAATACCAATTGGACTCACACCCAAAAAGATGGGCAAGTTGGGATAGGGATTACTGATTGTGCAAAAGACTTAAATACCCTCCCCATCCACATCATAAAAAATAGCCCTAGAAACTAACGCTAAATCACCTGAGTTGTATTGGGATTCATTGCAAAGATAGCTTCTTGAAAATTCCCAAGAAATGAATCCATGATCAAAGCACCAGAAACCATAACAACACCAAGAATGCTAAAATTAGGCGAAGTATTTGCATCTGCAAGTGTGAATAGTATTAGACCCACCACCAGAAGTAAAGCGGATACATATTCGTGTGGAGGGTATTTTCGTCTTAATCCAGGGATAAACGCCCCCATGACCATCACAGGAAGAACCTGAAACATTTTCATCACAGTTCCAATATATCAAATAATAATTCATCGTACAACCAAACAATGCACAGAAAAAAAAATCAATCAAGATTCTGACTGTTTTATCCATGACATCAAAATTTTGGATTTCTTAAATCTGGGATACAAAAAAGGTCCCAACTTTATGATCTAAGATTTTACCTTGGTAGATTTAAACATGAGTTGAGCAGGGTAATTTAGGAAAGCTAAAGACCCTTTGGTGAGACCATGAGAACCCATGAGTACTGCTGAAAGCTTCACATATGTCTTCCATGGATTCACCATTTGCTTGGTGGTGAAACCTTGCAAGTAAATTAAAGCAAGGTAAACCCATCCTTGAATGAATGTAAAATACCAGCCATAACTACACAAAACAAAACAAAACAAAAAGAAAATTAAAAACTCTGAATTTTTTTAGCAAAACCATGGCTTAATTAGTTAAATAAACAATTTGATGCAAAAACTGACCTGAATTTAAGTCGATTGTATACATATTCCTGAAAAGAAGCAATAAACAATGAGAAACACACAAATAATACTGATTACTCCCAAAAATAAAAGTCCAATTTCGAGTTTTGACTTTTGGAGGTCAAATTATTTGTTTTTGAAGTATATAATTAACAAAAATTATCACTCCAGTTGCAGAAAATAAACTAATACATTTTAGATATTAAAATACTAAGAATTATGTGGAATTTGAACTTAGAGTTAGAAAGCACCATGTTTGAGACTTTAAACCTTTAAACTAAAAAATTAGGCTCTTGTGGAATTTTAACTTAGAATACTAAGAATTAAATTTCTGTATATATACATTTTAGAGATTAAATTACTAAGAATTATGTGGAAATTTGAACTTAGAAAGCACCAAGTTTGAGACTTTAAACCTTTAAACTAAAAAATTAGGTTCTTGTTTTTTGGAGTCAAATTAAGTGGGCACCATCACACAATACAAACATCGACACAATTGAAGAGTTCCAAATTGATCATTATAAGCGTTTACCCACAAAAGTCAATATTTTTTTAAATGTAAAAGATCGAACAAGTTGACAATTTAAAATTAACTAATAGAAAATTTCCCCAAAAGTTTAACAAATATCCAAAAAGAACGCAATATATTCCGCTTGATGTATTGTTTCTTTCACGAAAATGAATGTTCTTTAAACAATGTACAATCACTCCCAAAAAATATTCTTTTCCTCCAGACGAAATAATGCCATGACAAACTGTACTCCAAGCAGTACAAGTTGTACCTTTCGTCCGATTTGTGCATTTTACACCAAAATGTACAACCAAAGAATAATTCGATTGCACTGATGTGCATTAGCCGGCGTCAAAAGATAGTCCAAGTCTCCAAAATACTATTTTTTGCAAATTAATTATTAAAAATCAAAACTCAAAGCCTCAAACAAAGACGATGATATTATCATCGAATAATTCTTGATACCAGATTGAGATAGGAATTATTTTGATAAGCTGTGTAGGACCCATTTAGGATTCAACAAAAACTTCAAGCCAGTAATCAAGAATTTAACTTGTTTGTAAAAAATTAGAGCAAAAAGTACAGGGGAAAATAAAAAAATCAAGATAAAGTTAAAACCTTAGAATATGCAAAATTATGAAGGAAAACTTCTTGAGGTCTTGCATGCAACCATAAACGTCCTCAAGAAAAATTCCAAAAACCCACACAAATCCAATTCTTGAAAATTCTCAGCATATCGTGTCTGGTTTAAATTGGGGTTTGGGAGAACACCCAATTCTTGAAAGATTCGTCAAAACAAATATGGATTTTTATACAACACCTAAGTTTTTGAATAATATCAGCAAATTAAAGATGCGTGTTTGAAGAACAACAAATTAATGAAAATATACCGAAATATAACAGGGGTTTATGAAATTATTTTATCAGAAAAGCAGCTAGTTAAGAAAAAACAGAAAAGACATGAAAAACCCCTAAATCTTCAAGGAAAATACAGAGGGCTTTGATAAAAATTACCTCACAAACACCATTAACGAGATACCCAAAGAAAAACCCCGAAGAACAGATGAGAAATTGTTGCCATTTTGGTCGATCAGAGAGAGAAATGCCAAACAGAGATCGAGATTGTTCTTCGTTGTTCTTCATATTACTCTGAACGATCCTTTAAAAAGTCAATAGCTTTTATGATGAAGAATGAAGGAATTTTTCATATAAAGAAATGGATCAACTGAGATTTGTGCATGTTGACTTTAGAGAGAGAAAGGATTGATTAAAGGGAGCGTATCGGTTCAATCACGTTAAACATGTATCGGGAACACATGAAACATAAAGGGTTTTATATTTTTTTAGTTTTTTAGAGAGAGAAAGCTTGAAGAGAGAGAGAAAGAGTGTGTTTACAGGATCTGGCCAACTCAAGAAGAAGGAGAGAGGTGTCTATAGAAGACTTTCATTAGAGGTTTTTGTAAACTTTACAAACGGGAAAATAAATAAATAAAAAATAAATAAACTAAATACTTTTTGGTACAGTGACATTGACACAATCGTCTTTTAATTAAATAGTATATCTTTGTATTTTGTATAAAAGATCGACATATTTCATTTTTTAGCATTATAAAAATATTAAGGAATATTGCCATGATTAATTAATGGAATGCAGTGCTTGTAAATAAAAATGCATTATATAAAACAAAGATTGATTTACAATCTACAGTTATTTTGTATACAAAATTTTTGGTTAAATTTACAATAAATTTATGAAATATAACTTCGCTTTAAAGTATATTAAATTGAAATAACTTTTTTTTGGAAGGAAAAGTTTCACCCATTATGATCAAATCATATCATTACATAACCAATTAATTATGTTTTTTTTTCCATGCATTAGTTCTTAAGTCGCTGCAAATGACAATCCGGCCGGGTTTTTGTCTATATACAGGATTTATGGGGTAACATTTATAAAAATCAAATAAAAATTAATTGGATTCTGTAATTGTTCGAAATGGGCTTTGAGAATTTTAGTATAAGGGTTAATCTTATTTTAAAATTATTATTATTATTAATTAATATGTTTTGATTTCAAAACACTTGTCTTAATACCTTTTTTCATGGATAAATTAGCATAATATAATAAACGTTATTTAGAGTTAGTAATTTCGATATATTTACTTATGTATTAGCCAATTTAAATTATGTTTTATTTTAACAATTAAATTATAAATAAAAGATAGAAGCATATTTAATTTCTCATAAATAAAATACAAAAGTCTAAAAGAATGTCAAATTTACTACTTCAAATTAATATAGTTTATTTCTGATGAAACTAACATTAAATGTTTAATGGTCAAACGCTGTTTACAAAGATAGATTTTTTGTGCGATTTATAAGCTACTTTTTTGAGCCGGCAAAACTGGTAGTAAAAAATAAAGAAAACGTAACAATGTATACACGAAAATGGTATGCCTCTAAATTAATTGATACTTTTGGAAAATATCAAAATTTAGGAAACAGTTGTGATTTTATTATTAAATAAGTCAGTACAACTACAAAATAAAATTTTATTTTATAAGCATACAAATATTATATCATTAATCGGTTAATCCAAAAGAGTCTTCTCCTACACAAGAAACGGACTATAATTAGTAAAATGGATGTTGGAAAAAGAAATGAAGGTACAAGCTACAAAGAACATGTTACAAGTAGGAAACGGTCGTGTATTCCCGAGGTTTACCAAGTTTGAAGCAAGGGATGATTGCTGCACGTGGCGAAAGGAGAGAGCAGAAGTAAGAAGTGAGCGGGAAGTAATTACATGGGCCCGGAGTAGGGAGGAGATTTAGAACCGGAAAACCGGACCGGAACCGGAACCGTTAGAACCGGAATATGTAAAACCGGTCCGGGTCCCGGGTTTAAAGAATGGCTCTATCCGGGTTCCGGGTAATCCGGGTTTCGGGTCCTTCGGGTCCGGGTAAACCGGGTTTAAGAACCGGAACCGTGTTAGGAACCGGAACCGGTTTTAGGGGCCGGAACCGGTTTCTATGGAAAGTTTAAAACATGCATATCTCATTCGTTTGAAGTCGGATTGGCATGAGGTTTTTTCCATAGTATAGTTTATAGTTTTTACATGATTTTAGACTATAATTTTGTCATTTTTGGGTTTATATTCATTGACTTATAGTCTCTCAAAGTTGGAATATCAAAGCTGGAAATTTTATGTTTTTCAACTTTTTTTTATATTCTGTGATAGTTTTAAAACATGCATATCTCATTCGTTTGAAGTTGGATTGGTATGAAGTTTTTTTCAGAGTGTAGTTTATAGTTTATACATGTTTTTAGACTATAATTTTGTTATTTTTGGGTGTTTATTCATTGACTTATAGTCTCTCAAAGTCGGGATATCAAAGCTGAAAATTTTAGGTTTTTCAGCTTTCTTTGTATTTCGTGATAGATTTAAAACATGCATATTTAATTCGTTTGAAGTCGGAATAGCATGCGGTTTTTTCCAAAGTGTAGTATAGAGTTTGTACATGATTTTAGACTATAATTTTGTCATTTTTGGTTTCATATTCATTGATTTATAGTCACCCAAAGTTGGGATATCAAAGCTGCAAATTTTTTTTTTCTCAACTTTATTTTTGTATTTTGTGAAATTTTAAAACATGCATTCGACCCACTTTACCCGGTTCCCCGGGTTTTTCGGTTTTAGACCCACTTTACCCGGTTCCATTCGACCCACTTTGATATTTTCGGGTTTTCCGGTTCTAGACCCACTTTATCCAGTACCTTACCCGGAACCGAACCGGAACCGGTTCCTATATACTGGTTCGGTTTTCGGTCCTAAAAAATCTCGTTAACCGGTTCCCGGGTTTTCCGGGTCCGGGTCTACCGGTCCGGGCTTGGACCCACTCTCATCCCTAGCCGGGAGTAGTTCAACTTTGTTTTTATCCGCCGACCTCCATGCAAAGTTCGAACAGCATAAAAAACACATAATTTCATGTTATGCGTAAAAAATGGATGACTCGAATAACAGATGACAACATACAGGGTTTTTAAGTATATTTCTAAAGCTATTTGTGAATTATTTTTGGGCTAATCGACATTGGGAAAATAAAAGTTTTGTCAAATTTAATTATTTTTAGATATTTATTATAAAATAATCGCTTATTTCATGAGAATTACTTTTATAAAATAACCTCAATTTGTTAAACAATTATTCGATAACTAGTTGTGAGACTCATGTTATATATAGGTTAATTTAAAAAAATTAAATATAAATGTCAAAATATTTAATAACTTTGAATTTATAAGAAAATAAAAAAATAATGATTTATTATAATGAAAATGTTTTTTATCTTTTAAATTTAAATAAAGAAAAGAAACTAATAAACTTTAATTCTGAGAATTTTGAAATTAAAATGTAAGTTTATTAATGAAGTTAATATCCATTTATTAATATATTTATTGCAATTATTACATTAAAATATTATGTGAAATTTAATAATAAAAAAAACCCATAAAATAACATATGAAAAAAATTAACTCAAAATAACCACAAAATCACATTTGACAAATTAAATAAGAATGTAACAAGTGGCAAAAAAAAACATACATTTATTAGAGAGGAAACTTCTGATAATTTGTTTACCGAATATCGTAAAATATTCTAAATTCATGAAATTATATTTTCTAACAAAGGGTAAATTGAGACTACTTAGACCATTTCATCTTTCACTATCTTTAGTCATTTTATTTTGGGAAATCTCCAGAAAAGTCCTAAAATTTAGTCAAATTTATGAAAAAGTCCCAAACTAAATTTTATTTACAGAAACGCACAGAATACCGGTTAAAACTTCGAAAAAACCCTTTTCGGCTGGTTTCTCAAATTTTGCCGATATTCTGTTCTTTTTTAGTTTGCTCAAAATTTTGGGATTTTTCCAAAAATTACATAATAACCAAAATATTGGGACTTTTTTGAAAATTACCATGAAATTAATGGATATTATTATTAACAAATCATTTATAAACAAAAAATATCTTTATTATAAAAAAGGAAATACATTTGTTGTTAATTTCTAGGAATAAATTGGTGGTTTAAGTACTTTATTGCTTCATGACCACTCAAACTCTCTACGTTCTTCCTATGCATTGTTGTGGGTATGATTGTGAGATAAACTTAGTTAGCATTCCTCTAATGTTGGTGCTCCTCTTATGTTGTTTAACCTAACTACCAACCAACATTCATACATTACATGTTAACAACCATCAGCTAACACACATCTATAAAATGTGAAAAGTGAACTGTGAATGATACTTTATATGGAAACAAGTGAAGGGTTATTATCTATTTAAATTGTCATTTAAAGTTTACTTTTCACTCTCGATAGATGTGTGTAATTTTATGGTTGTTATCGGGAAATGTTTGGAGGTTACGTAGTAGTTAGGTTAAAGAACATAACGAAAGATCTATACGTTCGTGTTATGATATTTTCTAATAACACGTGATCATATAGCATCATGTCTAATAGCAAGTAGACAATTATTGATTGTGTATTAGTAAATATTATCAACTCTTGTATTGGTCACGCCTAACAGAGTACTACTCACTATAACACCCACAACGATACATAGGAAGAACATAGAAACTTTGAAGTGATCAACAAACAATAGAGAAGTACATAGTCGACCATTCTATTCCTAGAAATTAGCAACAAATGTATTTCCTTTGTTTATAATAATAAAAAAAATTATGTTTATAAATGATTTGTTAATAATAATATCCATTAATTCCATAGTAATTTTCAAAAAAAGTCCCAATATTTTGGTTATCGGGTAATTTTCAGAAAAATCCTAATATTTTGAGCAAACTAACGAAAAATGATAGAATACCGGCTAAATCTACGAAACCGGCCAAAAAGGGTTTTTTCGAAGTTTTAGCCGGTATTCTGTGCTTTTCTGTAAACAAAAATTAGTTTGGGACTTTTTCATAAATTAGACTAAAATTTTAGGACTTTTTTGGAGATTTCCCTTTTATTTTCTCATTACTCTCTTTTTATTTTTTTAATTCTAGAAAATAAACGCATTTCATTTCACCTTATTTTTTGTTGTTAAAATAAATTACTATGATTTAGTAAATAAATAAAATTAATTAAAAATGGTTAATAAACTCAAAATTAATAAAAATATAAATATTTCATTACTTTGAAAAAAATACATATTTGTAACGCCCCATTTCGAATAAAGTCCTAAATCGAGGCTGTGACCCGAAGAGCGGTCATCATAAGGATTAGGGCCTTTATAAAGGTAAGATTTAGGCCCATTTGGATGTGGGTAATGTGAGTATGTGACCCAATAGCTCGGTTTGCACTTTGGGGTCAAGGGTAAAACAGGAATGTAGTGTTTCAGACTTCTTTTATGAATTTTGGATTTTAGTTCGGTTGGGTTCAGGTTAAATAAAGTTTA